AACAATATCTAAAGCATCAACACCTAAAACAACATTTTCAGCTGCCTCACATATAAGCTTCACCGTTATGCCTAGTGGGGACTGGCCTCATGACAAGTCTGGTGTAGATGGAAAGTTGCAAGTGAATACCTATTTCAGATTGAGAGCTGGGAGACGGTTATATCTTAAGGAAGAAACTGACACCTCGAAGTTTCCCTCTGCTACACCAGATGCTCAAGCTTCTGCAGTGAAAAGGTTATCAAGTAAAACGTGGAGGAAAGCCATCCCCGTAAATGAATTTCCTTCAAGCCTTTCTGTAGCTAAACTTGCGTCCACTGAAACTGAGGTAACAATGAGTCTGGATAAACCACTGAGTGGTAACATTGAAGTCGCACAGAAAGCACTTCAAGAGGTACGCACTCAAATACCTCCAGAAATGTTTGATCTGTCAAAAATTGTCTGTGGAACATATTTAGATTCAAGGTTGCTTGTCCTTCGAAGTGTAAATGGATCTGCACTCGTTTTAACAAGATGTACAAATGATAGTTGATTGTAGTAAAAAACTTTGTTGATTTACTTTTGGTAAATAGGATCATATTTTTATCGTTCCGTATTTTTGGTCAGAGGGAGCAAAAGATTGGTAGAGATCACAGAGATTCTTAATTCGAATATCTGTACAAACGAATAGAAGCTTAATTCGTGTATTTAAGGTCACAGAGATTCTTTTTTACCATGTTACCAATTTTCCAGCAAAAGATACATGTCCCTTGTTACCATGTTACCAGTGCGGAAGGAAAATCCTGCGCCCCTGGGCACTCGGAGGAAAATTTACACATCAACTAATCCCAAACTAGTTAAAACCAATAGAATTCATTAATTATAATTATTCCGCTGCATCTAAATTAATTCCATTTTAACAGGAAATAAGTTACCTTTTTAAAACACATTGAAGTTCTAGTATTCTTTAGAAATGTAAAATTTATCTCTACAATAGTCCTTAACCAGGCAACAAATACTCGTTACAAGCACTTGTAATCCCAAAAAAGTTGCAGGCAAGCTATGGAAATTTCAGTAAACATTCATGGGAGACCAAGTATAGAATTTGGCGAGAACTTGAAAGAACTCGGCAATTGTATGGCACTAAACAAAAGATAAAAGCAATGCAGTCAGAAATATTTGGCTGTCTCCGTCAGAACCCCAGACGGCCCGTGAAAACATCACGACCAAAGACCACGACTCTGTTCTGAAAATAAATCTAACCTAATAACAACAATAGCCTATCTAAAGACATCCTTGCTAATACAAATACATTTCATACATTTCAAATAGAGGCTTCTGTCTCTTGTCCCTCTCCCGCTTAGTGAATTCTAAACATTCAAATTGCACTTCAGAGGGGCAGGTGAATACACCAATAATCGCTTACTGAATAACAAGTGCTTGCTCAACCAAAATCAAGACATCTGGTCTGTCCAATATCTAGGATAAAGAAAATGCATAAGCAAAAGGAGCAGAAACATTTCCACCCAGGTGAACTAAAACCAATAAACCAACATACCGCCAAAGAGATTGAAAAGCTCCACAGAAACAAATCTGGATCAATCCCTGGCGCTGTAGATCCGTATATGTCTTTTTGTTGTAGATGTTGCCCTCTTGATCTTCATATACTACAGCTGCACTTTGTATCCTAACTATATTTATAGGAAGAACGGCAGCACGAATGACGCCCCGAAGAAACGCATCATCGTCTGTCCAGACATGTAAAGAGGTTCATGTTAGCAGAAACATAAAAGAAAGAACACAAGATCTAACGTGGTTCGGATCAAAATAATCCTACGTCCACCAGAGAACAGTTGCCTTTTTATTATTAACAAAGGAAGGGGAGAGTTCCCAATTACACTTAAGAGAATTTTTATCTTAACTCTCTACTCACTACAATGTATTGTATTATTTTTGGGATGGTTTCTACAGATGAAGGAGTGCATCTATTTATAGAGGTAAAGACCTCCTCCTGATGTCATTAGTGACATCAAACTACCTCCTCTTGATGTCATGGGTGACATCAAAGGAGGAAGCTTCCTCCTAGCATCCACACCAACTCTTTCCACCAACTCTTCCAATTGGCATGCAATTGTTGACTAAACATAAACCAACACTTTCAATCTCTACCTTGGTTTGCGTTTCGAGCGTGCGTGTGAACAACTCTGGCCAAAACTTCTAAGCTTACTGGGTAACCCCATAGTAAGAAACAAGAAGAATCAAACCATTGTTGAACATACTACCTCCACCTAACAACTGTTCTCTTCGGAGTTGCATCAGTTGATGCACACCCCCGCCAAGTCCTTGCAGTGTGCAAACTTAGCGAGTGGGACTATCTTGGTCAACATGTCTGCAGCATTATCGTCTGTGATAACCTTCACGACCTTGATAGTTCCCTCTTCAACAACATATCGAATAAAATGAAATCTGACATCAATGTGTTTAATGCGCTCAAGAAATCTCTGATTTTTTATTAGATGAATAGCACTCTAACTATCACATCTAAGAGTTATTCCAGCTGAACCAAACTCAATTCCGCTACTAAACCTTTCAACCAGATAGCTTCCTTCACCGCCTCCGCTGCTGCCATGTATTCTGCTTCTGTCGTAGACAAAGCGACAATCGGCTGCAGAGTCGACTTCCAACTAACGACACTGCCAACGAGGGTAAAAATGTATCCAGTTGTGGACCTTCTTCTATCAAGATCTCCTGCATAGTCAGAATCTACATAACCGAGAATTGAAATACCTCCACCACTTTTTTGAAAGGTCAGACCAACACCAGAAGCTCCTTTGAGATATCTCAATATCCACTTGACAGCTTCCCAATGCCTCTTTCCTGGGTTGGACATGTATCTACTTACCACACTTACAGATTGAGCAATATCTGGACGTGTGCATACCATAGCATACATAATGCTACCAACTGCACTGGCATAAGGAATCTTTGACATATGCTCCACCTCATCCTCGGACTGAGGCATTTGTAACTCTGAAAGTTTAAAATGAGGAGCTAATGGTGTACTTACAGGCTTGCACGTATGCATATTGAATCTCTTGAGAACCCTTTCAATATACCTCTTCTGAGAAAGATGTACAACACCGTCTTCTCTTGAAATCTCCATACCAAGGATTTTCTTTGCAGCTCCTAAATCCTTCATGTCAAATTCCTTACTCAACAGTTTCTTCAAAGCATTTATCTCTGTAATGTTGTTAGCAGCAATAAGCATATCATCAACATACAACAGTAAATAAATCATTGAGTTACCAGACATCTTCTTGTGATACACACAACTATCAAATGCACTCCTTGAGAATTCATGTGTAGTCATGAATGCATCAAACCTTTTGTACCATTGTCTAGGGGATTGCTTCAAACCATACAAAGACTTCTTTAGTTGGCCTACGTGATCTTCTTTTCCCTCAGCTAGGAAACCTTCAGGTTAATCCATATAGATTGTCTCTTCTAGATCACCGTGTAAGAAAGCAGTTTTGACATCAAGCTGTTGAAGCTCCAAGTCAAATTGGGCAACCAATGCTAGTAGCATGCGAATTGAGCTATGCTTCACGACTGGAGAGAAAATCTCATTGTAGTCAATTCCCTCCTTCTGACTGAAACCTTTTGCAACCAATCTTGCCTTGAACCTAACATCTTCCACTTCAAGAATTCCCTCTTTCTGTCGGTAGACCCACTTGCATCCGACTGTCCTCTTCCCCTTTTGTCTTTTCACTAAGACCCATGTCTGATTCTTGTGAAGAGACTCCATCTCTTCAGTCATGGCTAACTGCCATTGTACAGCATCCTTGCAAGAAGTTGTTTCAATATACGAGGAGGGCTCCAGATCCTTAATCTCTTCTTGTGCAGCTATGAACGCATATGCAATCAAGTTTGCTTGATCTATAAGGCGTTCCGGTTCTCGTGT